ATTACTTTTCTAGTCTTGCTTGCAGTTAGGTATAGCCATTTGACTTAAGTTTTTGACAATAAGTAAGGGGATTGATATGTATATAACTTATGGCCATATCTTTAAGATACATGCCCTGGCCTCTTTTTAAAAATTCTTTTTTCACTGACTGGACATAGGCAGTCGTTGAAGCAGCTCCTTAGACCCAAAAATGGAAGCCGGGTGCTGAGGATAGCAGAGCACCCCCTAACCTTGATCCCTGGATCATCACATGGAACAGAGCCTGCCACCCGTCCTCAACTATTACATGAGAGAAACAATTCTTGTCTCAGCTGCTCTGTTTTGGTGCTTCTTCGATACAGTAGCTGAAACCACACCTTCACTAATAACAGAAGGGAACAGATGTACACACTTTATTCTTCTGTTTCTTCATCCTCTTGCTTGGAGTAAGGTAAAGCTTACTCCAAGATGTAATCCAGGATGATGCACCACCACATGATGATGTGGTGGTGCATCATCCTGGACCATGTGGAGAAGGGTGGTGCCCTAGGAATGGCAGAGCAGAAAGATAGAGGAGCCTGGGTTCTGGGATGACTATGGAGCAGAACAGTCATATTAGCCCTGACTTATCTATGTCTATACTCAATTAATTAATAATACCATATCCTGTGTTTTAGAGATAAACTAAAGGTTTATTTATCCTCCCTGAACTATTCTGGTGATTATTATCAATACTAATAAAATGGTAATATGCTAATTAGACCATACATCTTCCAAACATCCTTCTGGACAAAGCCATGGGGGCAAGGGCCGAGGCAGAGGTGGTTAGGGGCCATCAGGTAGGCAGGGGAGCAGTTAGGGGCATCAGGCCAACAGGCAGAGGTGGTTAGGGGTGATCAGGCAGGCAGGCAGGCAAGCAGTTTCAAGCCAGTGGTCCCAAATTGCGAGAGGGATCCTGGATTGGAAAGGGTGCAGGCTGGGCTGAGGGACTCCCCCCTCATGCACAAATTTTGTGCACTGGGCCTCTAGTATATATACATAATTATAAAGATTAATTACGTTCTTAACTAATAATTATAGATAGATAGATAGATAGATAGATAGATAGATAGATAGATAGATAGATGTTGATTATACGTATGAGGGGTAAAGGGAGCCTATGCATAATAATCAATATCTATCTATCTATCTATCTATCTATCTATCTATCTATCATTATTAGTTAAGAACATGGGGATTAGTGACAACCAGTCTCTGCTACTTCCCAACTAGGTGGTCTTTAAAATCTCTGAGCTTCATATTTATCATCTGAAAAATGGATATAATAACCTCGGTCTAATTCTGTCCACTTCCTCTGAGAGAGAGCACAGCGCTGTGACTTCCAAAGGCCTGGGTCAGGTACAGAGTTTTCATCGTGCCCTTCAAACATCACCTCTTCCATGTGTCACCAAGTGTTACCCCATCTCCTTGGAGTAGTTGGTGACTCTTCTTGGGCTCTGTGCTTTCCCTCCTCAGGGCTGTGCTCATGTAGCTTTTCCTTTGTGTGAAAACTCCTCACCCTGTCCACCTGTGGAAATTGTACCTTGTTGCAAAGCCCAGCTCAGACACCTCATGCCCGCGTGAAGCCTTCTGTGATTTCCCAAACCGATCGTGAGATTTCACCATTCTTTAACGCGGCACCTCCCTTGTATCATCTGCCATAGTTGTGTTCTGTTTTGGTGTTTTGCATACCTGGCTTAGCTTCCTAATTTATAGATTCTATGAGGATAGGACTGGTTCTTTCCCATCTTTGTCACCTTGCACATGGTTGATGATGCCCACAATATAACTTTTGGATGGAATGAGTTGCCTGACTCAATGGCCACTCAGATTTTCTTCCTGAAAAGAAGCTTTCAGCAACTTGACACTCAACATTTTTCTCTCTGTAAGTGCCTAGCCCTGGACATTGAAAAATTTCAACTTCCTGCCATTGTGCCCCTCACCTTGGGCTTCTGACACATGTTTTTTCCCTCCTGGGTTGTACATTTGCAGCTTGAGAGCTTTGCCTGTGAATAATGAGTCAATTATCACCCAGCCTCAGGGAGAGCGCGATTACTCCCGACTGGCCAGGCTGAAGTAATCCTCTCCTCCCTGCGCCCTTTCCATGAAGAACATAAAACAGGTGGAATTCAGAGCACTGCAAAGGGAATTTAGACAAAACAGCGGTCTGCTGCATTTAGCTCCTTTGGATTCATTCTGATTTTATGATTGATTGGTTTTTAAATTGCTTATTTAATCCTAACGACTGTTGCTCCGGGGGAGGCCAGATACCACGGAGCATGTGATCAAGAAGCAGTTGAGCGAAGTGGTTTGGCTGGACAAATGAGGAGCAGATATTATTGTCCAGAGAAACATAGCTCTGGGCTAGGAGTATAATGTGAAAATCACCCCATGACTTTCAAAGCACCCAACCTTGTTATAAGCATGATTGCTTATCCCCTATTCTCTTTGCAGAAGGCCTTGTGCAGCTGCTCCGAGTTGCACAGAAATTTCCCCCATGAATTTTTTGTTCCTTCTAGCAACACATTCAGAATCTCTTTGCCACTGAGAACCCGCTCTTGATTTATATTGCTCTTGACCACGGAGCAGAACAATGCCTCTGAGGTGCTGGCAGGACCTGGCCCTGGATTCTGATGAGGGCCAGAGTGTTGATCTGTGAAAACTCTCCCGCCAGGGTGGCGACGCTTCTCAGCACGTGGACACTGGGTTGGCTCTTAAATGGATGAATGCGAGTTTTTAAAGAATTTCTTTCAAAACAGACTTCTCTGAAAGTAATCACTTTCATCTGGAAGCCATATAGTCACCGTATGATTAGTATTAATCGATCAAGGGATCAGTAGTTTCAATCTTTTCAAGGATCGGAACCTTTTGCTTTGGCCTGATATTAGACATTGTAGGTACAGCTGGTGTGGCCTAGTAAGGCAGATCTGTTGGAAGTTTGCATGCTTGGCATATATCTATATCTATCTATATCTATATCTATATCTATATCTATATCTATATCTATATCTATATCTATCTATATATATATAGATATATTTTAAATTTCATTGCTTAAGAATAATAAAACCTTTAAGAAACCTTTGTTTCACTTGTATTGAAGTTTTGACTCAGAAATGGCTGGTGCGGCTCAGTGGTTGAGCATCAACCTATGAACCAGGAGTCCCCGGTTTGATTCCTGATCAGGACACATGCCTGGGTTTTGGGATTAATCCCCAGTGTGCAGGGGGGGGTGGGTGGGGATGGTATTCAGAAGGTTGTAAATCAATGATTCTCATCATTGATGTTTCTATCTCTTTTTCCTCCCTTCATCTCTGATATCAATAAAAAATATATTTTATATAAAGAGAAATGCCCAAAGAGATGCTCTTTCAAGTCTGAACAACCTTCTTGTTCTCTGAAATATTGTTGTTAGAATTTTATTTATTAATTATGTTTCAGTTATTCCAAAGCAAGAAACACTAGGGTCAAGTTGAAATATTGAAAAAAGTATTGACTGATGAAAAACAAACCCTTGGGTGGCTCATGTGGAATGACACCAGGACCATTCTGGAAGCAGGGTCTCTCATCAGGTTTAGGCCCCTTTGGATTTATTTTGACACTGTCATATTGAAAAAGAACTTCTTTCCTACCTCACTCTGCCAAGAGATTTGTTATTTGTTTTTTTTTGTTTTTTTGACAGTGATAAAAGCCTTGGAAGAAGCACTTCTGGGTTTTTGGAGTGATAGAGTATGTATTCATGTGAAATGTAGGAAGGAGCCTTACACTGGAGGAGCAATCAAAGAGAGAACAAGTTCTTTCCTGAATCTTCTTGCTGACCTAAGAACACCCAAACATGTAGAGAATTGTTATAAGAATTTATTTGAGCCAAACTTACAGTTGCCAGGAAGCAAGACCTCAAATGCTCAGGAGAATAGGAAAATAGCAGTTTGCAATTTCTTTTACACACTTGCTATGGAAGGAATTTAGGGAAGATTAAGTGAAGGTGGGAGAAAGCAAGAAAGGGAATGAATGGATCACAGGATAGCTAAGACTCTGTGCTCTGTTGAGAGTGGTTATGTCTTCAAGGGTATTCTGGCATTTCAAAGGTGTGTTGACCTCAATGCAAAAGAACAACAGGCCACCCCTTTCTGAAGAAGTTGTAGGCGTGGGCGTGACCACCCACCATGATCTGCCCAGTTAGGAATTTACAATTTATTATAGTATCCCTTTTTTTGCACCACATAATATTTTAAAAATGAAAGGAGAAATTTTAAACGCATGAACAAGAAATTTTACTAGATCTTAGTCCCCACCAGTAGTTCAACATCAGCATCAGAAGTGGGGACTTCATTATACTTTGCTCTTTCTTTTACCTGTCAAACACCCTGGTTATTTTATTGGAAATGGCAGAGGAGTACCTTGTGTGATATGAGAACAAATAGAACCTGTCCTTATGGAACATCTGTTTCACTAAATGCCTTTCAAGTATTTAAGTCAATAGACTGTTACAGTAGTGTGCTGGGTACTCAGTACTGTCTTAGTAAATACTGGATTGAGGCTGTTCAGGCCTTAAAGGATAAGCAGGGAGAACTGAAGTAATTCCACTGCGTATTAGGACAGTGCACTGAAGAATGGCAGGTGGTCACCGGAAGCCTTGCTTCTAACTTTGAGGAAGTTTGAGGAACCCTTTCATTTCTCAGAGAACTCCTGTTTCCAAGCATTTTTAGGACTACCTTGCTCTACCCTGCAACTGTACTGTTTATCTTTGCCCTAGGACTGATTTAGGACATCTCAGTGTTTGAGAACAATGCTGGGTACATAATAAACATGTAACATATATTTTTGTGTAGTAAATGAAATAGTGTTATCTTTTTTGCATTTATAGATTTTTTTGAAAACTACTTTTCGTTTGTTTTGTTTGGAAGGAAGATTCTCAACAGGAAATGAACTAGACTGGGTGTGGTGGATGTTTTTCAATATCATGTCACTTATTATTTCAGAGGATAACGTGCCCCAAGGAGACTTATTTGGAACCAGATCTTCAGAAGACATATTTAATTCAGTACATTTTACTCATGAAAATGAACCAGATGATCACTGCCTTAGGAGTAAAGCCATCTTCCTTCGTACTTCATCACAGTCTTCAGAAGAGGAGCAGGTAAGACTGTAGCACTTTTAGAAACAGTCTGAGAAAAGACATGCTTTATTAATTAAAAAATAGCCGGAAGAACATCAGAGACACTGGACAGTTATTAGACCAATAGCTCAGACTCCAAATTCTAGAAGGAATGTCATTGGGATACTTTATTGAGAATCATTATTATTATATATTGTATGATTTTAACAGTGATTTATGATGATAACTTGGTTATCCCAATTTTGGTTAAAAACCTCTTACCAGCCTGGCTGGTGTGCTCAGTTGGAGCATCATCCCATACACTGAAAGTTTGTGGGTTTGATTCCTGCTCCGGATTCAATCCCAGATCAGGGCTTGTATGGGAGGCAACTAACCTACGTTTCAATTGCTGTTTCTCTCTCTCTGCCCCTCCCCCCTAAAAATCAATAAACATATCCTTAGGTGATGATTAAAAAACAAACCAAAAGGAAAACCTCTTAACCATCTGCCATCTGCAAATTCTTCTTGACATACATTTTAACTTGTCCTCCATGTGGAACCAAAGAATTCCTCTTTAAATTCATGTGTAAAATGGAAGTTTCTTCTACCTGTTCTGGATTCACCTTTTTCGAGCTTAAAGTAGAAGCTGTTTATCTTGTGTTTTTTCCCCAGGATTTGGTCAATGAATATTATATGCTCTCTCCTTAACCTTCAAGGCTTAATAGACTGTAGTCATATTACTCTTAGCTGTGGTTTTTAACTACCAAGGAATCTAAGTGAAAGTTATTTTTTAAAACCAAATGCATATTTGTTTAGGTTGAAATAAACTGTAAAGATTGATTTTCTTCATTAAAAATAGCAGCAATATTTCCTGTATATTTTCTTAGATAAACTACAAAACACATTTTTGTAGGTTGTCCAGGTTTTGCTTATAAATCAAGATGAGACAGTAGATACAGTTATGGAAAATGTTCTACTTTTTTAAGCCATTTGAGTTTCTGCTTTATCATGTCTTCCATATGACATTGTGGACAGGATTGTATTTGTGATTTTATCCAAGGGAACAAAAATCTCTGCATTAGAAATGTGCTTATACTAGTATATAGCAGAGGCTCTATATATAGATAATTGTGGGACAGACACTTTCCCCCTAGGGAATTCACTATCTACCTTTAGCCACCAGAATTATATAATCTATTTAATCTTTGACCAGCATGTTGGATGTAAAGGCTTGTTCAATGGTATTGTTTGTTTTCTTTCTTTCTTTCTTTCTTTCTTTCTTTCTTTCTTTCTTTCTTTCTTTCTTTCTTTCTTTCTTTCTTTCTTTCTTTCTTTCTTTCTGTCTTCCTTCCTTCCTTCCTTCCTTCCTTCCTTCCTTCCTTCCTTCCTTCCTTCCTTCCTTCCTTCCTTCCTTCCTTCCTTCCTTCCTTCTTCTTGCTTTTATTTTATTGATTTTTTTTACAGAGAGGAAGGGAGAGGGATAGAGAGTTAGAAACATCAATGAGAGATAATCATTGATCAGATGCCTCCTGCGCACCCCCCTCTGGGATGTGCCCACAACCAAGGTACATACCCTTGACTGGAATCGAACCCTGGACACTTCAATCTGCAGGCCAGTGCTCTATCCACTGAGCCAAATTAGTTAAGGCGCATTGTTTTCTAATAACTTGACAAAGTTGTATTAGCATTTTCCAATTTGCCCTTCAGGATTCACTGGATGGGATAGTTTCATCCTGCATTGCTAATGAACAAAAGCTGAAGGAAAGTTTATTGTCTGAAGGGCTACAGGACCAGCTCCTTTATTTTCAGTCGTTCCATTTGCCCATCAGTATGTCTTCCCTGTATTTTTCAGATGGTGCTGGATGAAGGCCAACGAGTTGGCAGTTCCTTTGGAGGTGACCTGAATTGGGCGGGAAAGGTGAAGGTAAGGCATGGCTTAATTTTTGTTTCCATGGCAAAACCCCTCAAAAAACTATAAAAGCAGAAAAACCCACAGGACCCGTTTGCTGTCGCATACAAGTTGGAAAATTCAGCAAATTTTGTCCTTATACTTAAAAAAAAAAAAGATTGGTGTTTGAGAATGTCACACTATGCACGGTTGGCTGGGTTCCAGATCTTTCCCCGCCAAAGCTCAATAAATGGAAGGGGTGCTTCGCTAGGGAACCGTGGCTCTCGTCCCCTGTAGCATATACCATTAAGAGAAATGAAGTTTAACAGATTCTCCCATTTTAGTACTGAAACTGGCATAAGGGAGATAAATTTTTCCTGTCACTTGGAGGCCAGGAAATCACTGCAGTTTTGTACTCATAAGCCCTGGAAGCCACCCTTTTACATTACTATGTGAGAGCCAGGGTCTGACAAATAGAGCCAAAAGAAGCTGCATTTGAATGCCAATTATGAGTTCTAAATTTGCAATTTGAAGGCATTTTGTTATGCACAGATTTCAGGTCATAAGCATAAAAGGTGTTTTGACATTATGCCTTTACTAGGTCTCCTTGGAGCCAGTGGTGAAATCATTTTCTTATTTACACTCCTCGATATTCACCTGAGATGAATTAGTTTGGTGTCTGAAATGTTACCATTTTGTTAATCTGAAATGTCTCATTGTCAGCTTGCTGTGGAAAGCAGTTACTCCTCGTGGAATAGTTTTTCATTGAAATGTAGCTATTGTGTCTGTAAAGGTCATTTGCTCTGCTTTTTTTAACCTTTGAAGTAATTTTCAGTTTTATTTGTTGGAAAGAGAGAACACTTGATTTTTTTTTTTTTTTTTTGCTCTGCTCACCTTTTTTTTTTTTTTTTTTTTTTTTTTGTGATTTACCTGGGCAGAATGATTTTTTTTTATGATGATATTTTTATTTTATTTTATTTTTAAATTCTCATCTGATGATATTTTTTCCATTAATTTTTAGAGAGTGGAAGGGAGAAGGAGAGAGAGAAACACCAATGCAAGAGAGACACATCTGTTGGTTGCCTCCCACATGCCCCTGACCAAGGCCAGGAGCCTGAAACTGACTTATGTGCCCTTCACTGGAATTGATCCTAGGATCCTTCAGTCCACAGGCTAACACTCTATCCCCTGAGCCAAACCGGCTAGGGCAGGATGATTTTGTTTTGAATGAACCATTCTCTCCTGCTTTCTTGCCTTTCCCGCCCCCCCCCCCCCCCCCCCCACCTCCTGGCTCTTTGCGGTGAAAAGTGTGCTGTTATAATAATAGTCAGACACATCACCATCATTTGCCTGAGAAGCAAAAGCAATAAAACAACAACAGCAGTAATAATCATATATAATAAAAGCCCAATATGCTAAGTGTCCTATAGTCTGGTGACCAGTCAACTGTTCAATCAAAATGTAATATGCTAATGATATGCTAAGGCCATTCAACCACTCTCTATGATGTGCACTGACCACCAGGGGGAAGACAGTCGACTGGTCTAGCAGTTGCTAATCGGTGGTCTGCGAACCACTGGTGGTCCATGAGGTCAAGGCTGGCAACCACTGGTTTAAGGAAACCTTTGGAGCAACAATCACCAACCGGTGGTCCCTGGACCACTAGTGGTCCATGAAGTCTGAAAGGTTGGTGACTGCTGGACTAGTTGACCAGTTGCTATGATGTGCACTGACCACCAGGGGACAGACGCTCTGACTTAGCTTGCTTCTGGAGTCCAACCGGTCAGGACTGAGGGAGACATGCCTTGGAGCCCTCCTATGGTCCCTCCCTGGCCTGATCATGCACTGGTGGTGCCCCTTGGCCTGGCCTATGCCCTCTCACAATCTGGGACCTTTTGGGGGGATGTTGGAGAGCCAGTTTCAGCCCGATCCCATAGACCACTCCCCTCAGGAGGGCGCCAGATGCAGTGCTCATGGCTGGCAATCCTCTCCTGATTGGGACTGATGGGCCTGAGCCTGAGGCAGGCAGCATTGGACTGTGGATTTCAGCCCAATCCCTGCAGGCCACTCAGAGGGACCCCATCCATGCATGAATTTGTGCACTGGCCCTCTAGTAATACTAATACTAATACTAATACTAATACTAATACTAATACTAATAAAACAATAATAGCAACAAGCAGAGACACTGTTTTGGACTGTCTTGACTGTGGAATATATTCTGGGATAGATCTGGAACAAAGTCTGTTTTCAAGAACTTCCCAGATGGTTCTTTTCCCTTTTAGTATAAAGAACTTACTATGGTGCCTGCAAAATCCAGGCCAACTTCCAAATTTACTGCTTCGTTCAGATGTCTCTGGGAAAGCAGAGTGAGCACAAAGACCTTTAGCTGAGATTCAAAAGTTAATGAGAAAATTGGGTTCAGTTGCTCACTTGAGTGTTGTGGAAGTGGATTCACTGATTCTTAATTGCCTTTTTAAAAAAAAAAAATCTAATATGCATAAAAATAATGTTAATCCTTTTCTAGGTAGATAATTTCCTAGAAGTGGAAGATTTGGACATGGATGAAGAGATTAAGCCCCAAATGAGCAAGGGTATGCCTTCTGTGCCTTCTGTTTTCTTTCTGAGCTGTCTGGCCTCTTTCTAGAGGCTACAAGTAATACTTTCGGCAGCTTTTTCTTTTCTTTTCTTTTTCTTTCTTTCTTTTTCTTTTCTGGCAATCCCATCTCCGTCTTCCCTGTGACAGGGAAAACTAGAATTCTGCAATTTCTTTTTCAAGAACAAAAATTTCAGTGGAAAGGTCAAAGCCTGTTGAAGCTTGTAAAGTCTTGCATCTTAAGTGAAATAAAGATGTCAGCTCTCCTTCTGCCCCTGCCCACTTTGATATACCATATGATTGATTTTTGAATGATTGTCTCAAGTAAAGTCATCTAAGTCAAACCCAATTTCTTAGAAGCACCACGTTGTCATTTGAGATTATTTTGGAATTAAACATAGGACATCCATAGATCATAAAAATAAAAATAATATCAGACTTGATCATAAACAAAATAAAACCCAAATCTTTGCTTTCATAAAAATTTATTAAATATGTAAACAAAACACTTAAGACTGGAAATATATTGTAAATGTTTCTTTTGGGGGCATCTTTCCATATGGGCTGGACTAGAGAGGCTTTATGCTAATTCACTGATGATTATGTAGATGAGGCCTTTTTCCTTTCCTGGTTAGCATTTTTGTGTAAACATAGGTATCCTTTTTTGCTTACAGGACCTTTGAAATATGTTCCAAATTAGAGTTGTTTGCTTTGAAAATTCTCATTCCTAATTCAGTATGCAAGAATATTTCAAAGTCATTGTTGAACTAACATTAGGGAAGGGGCAGTTACCATGGGGTTTGGTGTTGCTCACAGTGTTTAGGCAGTCATAAGAATGAATTATGGTCATGATGATTGGATGGGGACTTCGTTATAACCAGACAAGAGTTAACATGTCTGCGTGTAGTTTGTTTGGGAATGGTGACACTCTATAAGCTCTACTCTGGCTTCTTTGGTTGCCTGGACTGAGGGACTCAGGTAATTGTAAGCAATTACTTTTATATTCTGCTTCCCAACATCACAATACTCTACTAAAGGATTTGTTTTTCAAGCATTCTATTAACCAGCAGACTGGATAATTTTTCCTTACTTACTTGGTTCAAGTGAGATCAGAGATCTGATGGAATTACATGGTTGCTCTGCATTTCTGGAGGGACTCCAATTGCATTAGAAGGGATAGCTAAGGATTTATCAAGAGCCAAGTTTGTAGGGCAAGCACACTGGTTTTGGGGTGTGGGTGACTTTGGGGGGGCCAGCTTGTTAAAAATGGACATTCCTGGGTCTAATTCAGAAGGTCTTCAGTGGCATCTTGTGATCTGTGTTTTCAGCCACTATCCCAGGGGATTCAGACAGAGTTCATGTGTGGGGATGACACTTGGAGACAGTTTGAATGTAGTACATTTACAATATAAAATTAATTTTATACGAGGGCACAAAAATATATTGGTTGGGCACTTTTCCCGATGGTTTAAATTTCTTGCTTCCTGCAAGTAATGAGAAGATCTATATACTGACATAAACCTACTTAGCCAACGAATGTGATTTTGGTTATAGAAATCTCTTCCATTAGCCTTTTTTGCTTTTCCATTATTTTCACATTGTTTTCCTTAAACATTTTTTCAAGTTATGTTTTTAATGATTTTAAAAAAAATCAGATCTATTTCTTTAGTTTAAAAATATTGCGTAAAAAGTCTCACTAGTGTGATTTTCCCAGAAATCAGGTAACAGGCTGTCTTGCACTTATGTGAAAAAGGGTCACTGAGTCCTGAACCAAGTCTCAGTGGACTCAAATGAGCTAGTCAAGACCTCCCCATATGTAAAATAACGTGAAAATCTTAGGCTGAGAAGCAACCATGGCTTCCTTGACCTATTCCAATTACCAACAGGGACCACCAGGGTTTCACAATTTTTATAATGCTCAGTCTGGGTCAGTTACAAGAAAAAAATTAAATAGTTTGTGCCAACGTGAATTGTAGTTTGGGCCTAATTTGTATTATACATCAGGAATGTGAGCAGAAGGCAAACATTTATGTCAGATGGGAAATGTGACATTTCAAATAGGGAGTTGCTTGTCAAATTTGAGCAGCTGAGAGGCTTACTGATCAGATTCTGTTGTTATTGTTTAAGCAACAGATATGCCTAGGGCAACAAGGAAGTGAGTTGCCCATGGTTTTTTCTACCATTGATGTCATTTGCTCACCTTATTTGCTTTCGTAAATATTCTTCAAGATTCAGGGGCATGATTCCTCCTCTTTGTTTGGCTTTATGATTCTTTCCCAGTGTTTGGCTTTGGTAGCTCAGGTGGACACAGTTTTTCAGAGGAACCACCTCTCTGCACAGTGGTGTCCAGCACTAGTAGTTGCCATTGAGTTTGGGGCCCCGTGTATATTTGAAATCAAGTTAACCACTTTTTTCCTCCTTTGAATTTGAGGTAAGGTAATTAACCAGCAGGGTAATTACTATCGTACCCCTGACTTTTATCCAGACTAGTCATTAGTTGGAGTAGGTGTTAGCTATGCTGAGCATTAGAGTAGGGAGAATCTTCTGGCTATCTTTACCAATATTTATTTCTCTCTTCAGTTGCCCCAGCCTGTGGAGAATCCGGCTGAGATCAGTGGGCTGAAGAGCCTTATTGGAGGTCTGTTTCTCAGACTTAGACTCTTTTAGTCAGCGTGTGTATAATTATTCTGTGGTTGATTGCATTGGAGGAGAATGGGCAAATAATTCCTGCCCAAAGATTGGCAGCCTTATTTGATTTTCATTTTCAAGCTCTTCAGTACTCCCAATTCTAACAAAGGTATTTGGTCATCACTTTCGTGTGTGTGTGTGTGTGTGTGTGTGTGTGTGTGTGTGTGTTTTAAATTCTATCCTTATCTGTAACTTTAAGCAGCTTTATGTAGCTTATTAATGACCTGAGACTCTTATTCAACAAATATTTAACAACTGTGATTGGTGCCTGGAATATAAGGAAGAATGAAATTGGTCTGATTCCTGTTCTCATGACATTCATAATTTGTTGGAAGAATCAAATACTAACCAGATAATCACAAATATATAATTATAAATTATTCTAGATCTCATACATATGGCAGGGGAACTTAAATTTGTGTGTGGGTCAGAGAAAACTCTCTGAGAGCTTGAGATCTAGAGAATGAGTAACTTTAACTAGATGACTGGGGTGGAGTGAGGCTGAGGGTTAGGTGTGAGAGTATAGGAACAGCATAAGGAACTGAGCTAGGAAATGGCATGTTTCAACCAACTTAGGTTTAGGCATTTTATTTATTTTATACTTAGTATTGTTAAAATCATTCCTTCATTGCCTAGAAGGTCACTGAAAACACAGAGAGGGAAAAATTCTTGCTTCCAAGTGTTCCTCTATCACTGTTATTCCCATTTTTATATGTGCAAACTTAACAGTCCTTAAAGGTCCTGCTCAAAAACCATGTCAACCACAGGGCAAACCCACTGCCCAGGCCTCATGATTTCATGAGGAAACTTTCATTCCTGAAAAGAGGACAGAATTGGGAAAAGAAGAAGCCCATTGTGACTGCAGAACAAGCAGCACTTTTAAGTTCAACTCCATCTGTTATATAGTTCATATTTTGCTCCCCATTTTTCTGACTCCTATATTTATTTTTTATTTCTGTACTTGGAGGGAGAGGGATGTGATTTATTATCATTGTCAAATGCTAATCTCATCCTTGAAGTAATTCTTCCCTGAACTTGCCCACCTTCTTGTTTTTGTTTGAATGCTGCATACTGAAATACAATGGTTGTCTCATAAAAATCAATCATGTGATTGAGTGGTGTTTTGAACTAGTTTTTTTCTTTTTTTATGCAGATCAACATTTTTACTTGAAAGAATGACAAACTATAGTTCTCAAAAAAAATGAAGGAAAAAAAGCGTATTAAGTAGGTCTATCTTACATGCATATAAGTACAACCAATGGACACAAAACTCTGGGGAGGGAGGATATGTATGGGAGGGGGGGGCAATGGTAAGATATGTACACAGATGATAATTTAATAAAAATATTTAAAAAAGAAAAAATAAATAAATGTTTGATGATGAATGGGGAAAAAAGTGGTCTATCTTTAACTATAGTATTTTTTTAAAGCATGTTTTTATTGATTTTAGAGGGATGGAGAGAGATTGAAATGTTGAAGAGAGAGAACCATCTATCGGCTGTCTCCTGCATGCCCCCTACTGGGGATCCAGCTCACAACACCAGCAAGTGCCCGGAGGAGAAAAAAACTACAATCTCTTAGTGTGTGGGACGACGCTCAACCAAAGAGCACACCGGCCCAATGAACTGGTAGTATTCATTGTCAGTGACAAAGTTGACAGTGCATTGAGTGAAAAATAGATTTTTGGAGATGTGCATCCAATACTGTGAGCTAAGCACCTCTCCAGTATTTAAAGAGTTTTCTGATAAAATTGGTAATGTTAGTGAAGGTGATTTTTATACTGTATAATGAAATATGTTTATATTTGAGGGATCTGTATAAAACAGTGAATCAGTATTTTCCAAATTTATGATGTCACAAAATCATGTGTTAGAAAAAGAACCATTCAACATGTAAGACTGACCAAGATTTTAACATGACAGTATGAAAAATTCACCAAAATGGTTTGAGATTGCACATTGAATTTATTTTTTTTACTTTATTATTTTTTGAGATCTAGTATAGTTTCAAAGAAGAATATTCATGATTATATAAAAAGACTAGTAAAGTACTCCTTCCTTTTCCATTTATATATCTGTGTGAGAGTGCTTAACAAGTACAGAATCCAACTTTCCTTGCTTAAAAAAAACAAGAAATTTTTTTTATCCATATAATAATACTTCTCACTGTTTTCTTTGTTTTGGGAAAATAGATTTTTTCATTAAATATTTATTTTAAAACATAATGATATTTTAAATAGTTAAATAAATAAATATTTGAAAAAAATCTCAGTCTTTAATTTATAATATGATAAAAATTCATGGACATAACCTATTTAAACTAAAGTTCTTTGAAAGTTTTCAAAATTTTTAAGAATAAGGACCACTGAGATAGATTATCATAGCTGGTAGCTATGTGGGGAAGAGACCTGGATTACTAAAGTATTTCTTACCTATATCCTTTTTTGTCTTAGGGAATGCCCAAAATTTCAAAAAAATATCTATCATTTCTATATGACAAGAAAGGAACAGGCTGGTTAATTTAATAACTGTGCCACATAGATTAAAATTATTCTTATCTAATTTATTAGATGTCAGATAGATTGCTTGCTGTATAATGTATTAGATTTTGTGAGTATAGCTTTGACTTGCTGATTATTGACTAAATACAGAAAGACAAATGGCATGAACACATAGTTCATGAGTATTGGAAATTCTTATGATGTAGTTGAGAAAGAAGAGATTGACGTGTTTTCAGGCTTGCTGCCTACCATCAAGATTTGTTTTTGAGAGTTGGCTTGACTCCACATGAACATCAGCCAAGAGCATGGTATTTAGTGAAGATGAAAACAGGGCCTTTGATAGTTTCAGAAACAACTAAGATAGGATCAGGTTTCTTAAAACATTTCAGTTTTAAAATGTTTTATAGAGATTCCATTCCTCAATAATGAATACCATCATGTTTCTCCCAGGGTTATAGAGTGGGTAAAAGATAACGTAGCTTTCTTCATCACTGTCTTATCAGAGTCTTCTCATCCACATTGGTTTTACTCTTTTATGAATCTGTCCTCTTTAAAGTAAAGGTTATTCAATTTTGTTTTGATTATTCTCTGATTGATTATATATGTGAAAATCTTATTCCTGTAACAAAGTTTAATTATTGAGGGTAAGGACTATACATAGTTTACATCATCCAAATGTACTATTAACACACAGACTCTTTTATATATATATATATATATATATATATATATATATATATATATATATATATATATTTGATTTTTTTACAGAGTGGAAGGGAGAGGGATAGAGAGTTAGAAACATCAATGAGAGAGAAACATCGATCAGCTGCCTCCTGCACCCCCCCCCCCCATGGGGTTGTGCCCACAACCAAGGTACATGCCCTTGACTGGAATCGAACCTGGGACCTTTCAATCCGCAGGCTGACGCTCTGTCCACTGAGCCAAACCGATTTCAGCAGCACACAGACTCTTGATGCTTGCTGTTTGGTTTAAAAGTTGAGATGCAGGAAATTTATTTCCTATCCTTAAGTATTTATTGAGACTCTACTATGTGTAAGGTGCTGTATTAGATACCAATAGATATGCATTTGTACATTTTGCTTTTACACTGAAGAAGCAAATGGCAAAGCAAAGTGTGGAGGACTCGGAGTCTTCTTGTTTTGAAGGAGTTGTCCCCATGGCAGTAGAATTTTTCTGAAAGAAAACATTTTTTTTTTTTTTTTTTTTTTTTTGCAAAATATTAAAGAAGTGAAGAGGTTTAGCAAAGGAATTGCAGAGCTGCCTTCTTGGTGCCTATTATTGTCAATCAGATTTTAAATAGCTCTGAAGGCAGAATTGATTTTTATCTTACACTTGAACTGATGTTTGCACTGGTGGTCAATGGGTCTGATAGATATTGGTTTTTACATTAGGAGGCCCGAACCTTTCTCTTCTTGTCTTTGTTGTGGGCAGGCCCTTACCCAGGCTTGGACCTACGCAGTCCTAAGCAGATACACTGAGTTTGGCTTTGATCTCATACATAGATTTATTAGAGAGTCAATCTTCCCACCAGCCTTACTGAGTTTAAAAATAGTACTTCTCTGGGCATAAAATGTTTGAGTGCACTTACCACTGACTGGCCATTACTAATAAGTGATTGCAATGACATTTCTTGGCCTTGAGTTTGGCTACTCTGATAGATTTAAAAAATATATGTAATGAAAATGCTTATTTAAAAGAAGTTTATAATGTGACATCCTGGGCTCTGCAGACAGACTGCCTGGCTGTGCCACTTTGTGGCAGTGGCACCTTCACTGCGGTTACTCTTAGTGCTTAGAGCTCATTGTCTATAAAACAGGAAGTAACGGAGCTGTTGGATTAGCTGAGTTAATGCATATATCAGCTCACAAGAGTTGACTATTATTATTGTTTTTATTTCTGCCAGTTAATCAGGTCTTATTTTATAGTTTCAAGAATTAATCATAGTAAAACCACCTTGTTCACCAATCCCCCACTCACATGCTCAGTTTCTAGGCTATGTTCTTTGTTACTGGAGTCTTATGGATTTTGTAATTATATTTTTTTGTGAATTTGTAATTATTTTTTGTGTGGAGGTGACAGCATCATAATAGAGATGTTTTTCAAGTAAGATTCAGTTTTTGATATGGAATCATGCTCAGTTATCTCCCCATATATGCTGCCACTGGCAATGGTCAAGGCATGCACATTGTTAGTCACTTCCAGGGAGAATGTATTCTTTCTTAAGATTGTCTTTGAGTAGCAGGCAGCATCACTGAGCCAACTGCACATTATTGGGAATCTCCTGCAGCCCTCTGGTCCCGTGAAAACTTACTGAGGGGAAACCTGTTGTGCTTCTATTTGTTTTTTTGTCCTCCTTAAAGAAAGCTGTGGGAGAGCATCACTTATTTGTGATGCCTCCACGTTCTCTCACACGTGCAAGTATAAGGGAACACATCCCTTCATCATGAGCTGATCAGAAAACCAAGATTGGCTCTTGAATTCTTGTAATTGTGCTAAATAAACCGGAAACACTTTTTTGTTGTTTGCAGGTGTTGAAACTTAGAGCATGCATACTGAATGTGACAGAGTAGTTCATTTTTCTGCTACAAGTTAAAGTTCGTTCCTTCTGGAACCATTGTTTTTAATATGCTTTTTTGTTGTTGTTGTTGTTGAAATATTGTCATATCTTTACAGGATGAAATTCAACACCCCATTTCCTTTCTCTTCTCCCCTCAGGAAAATATGGGAAAATGAGGCAAAATTAGCATCTTCTTGCCTTATTTTCCTATTGAGGTAGACAGCGGGTTGAAGGGTGAGAGACATAAACAAGTTATTCGCAAACAACATTTCTCTGAGACCTTTTGGATGGAATCTAACAGCAATAATAGGGTAGAAATAGGTGCACCGGGGACTTCTACCTTCTAGAAAGGGGAATCTCAAACAGGAGCAGGCCTTGTAAGATGGACCTGCTCTACCTGAGCATATTTGCTTTGTTCTTGGGACCATTACAGGTTTTTAGAAGATTAAGGTCAGTTGTAAATTCCAAGAAAGGATCAGTGGAATATTTTGCATCCTGCAGATGTGCCGCTGCTGCCCGGGGAAGTGGAGGACGTAAGCACCCACATTCCTCCTGGAATTCCTCCCGCAGCTGACATTCTTCCTGCTGCCGCCCAGGCTCTGACCCCTGCAGTCAACCCAAGGCCCACAGTGGAAGGAGCAGACAAGCAGAAGGACAAGGTACTCACTCCATGGTGGACTCGATCAGTCTCGAAATCGCAGTGGTTTGGTCACTCGTCCTTTCAGAGAAATGCTCTTCTCCTGTCTCTCTTGTATTTTTCTCAGGTTGCTTTTTTTGGGCCCTTCTCATGGCCATCTGTCACTATTGTATATATTTCTTTTTAAACACACAGAGAGATTGTGTTTTTTACATGGAAACTAGTTTTTATTTTTATTTTTATAGAATATGTTTTTATTGATTTCAGAGAGAGGGAGAGAGAGATAGGAACATCAATGATGAGAGAGAATCATCAATCAGCTGCCTCCTGCATGCCCCCTAGTGTGGATTGAGCTCTCAACCCCAGCATGTGCTCTGAATGGGAATGGAACAGTGATCAACTGGTTAATGGGTCGATGCTCAACCACTGAGCACACCCGCGATGGAAAATATTTTTATTTCATGATGTATCTCTCTATAGGCCAGTGTTATCAGGATACAGTGCAACCGAAAGGACAGAGGAAGGGGACAGATGGTTTTCTTACCTCTTTTAATCTGAACTGGCCTTTTTTTCTTTATATTATTGTTCCTAAGGCCCTGTAGACATCCTGTATTTATTAAGGTAAAGCGAGGCTGCTCCAGGAGAGAATCCCAACAATAATTCAGTGGTGGAAGGGATAGAAGTTTCTTTCTTTCCTGAAATAACTAATCTGTGGAGGGTCTCTCATGTTAGCAAGTGGCTCTGTTCCCTGGACTCACCACGGCTCCTTCTCTCTGGAACTCCACTCTGCCTTGAGACACTGTCCTCAAGTGCATGCTGCGAGTCAGGTCCCCATCCTTCCCGGGGCAGGGGCTGAGTGCCTGGGCCGCCTGCTTCCCCAGGCTCAGAGCTCAGGGCTCCATTTCTGTTCATGTCCTATTGGCAGCCACTCAGTCACATGTTCCCACCCACCACAAGGGAGGCTGGGAAGTGTCATCCAGCTGTTTGTTTCCCAAGCAAGGTAGATGGAATACTTTTTATTTATATTTAGAATCTTTAAATGGAATTCTTTCCCAAATGCACCACTTGAAAGTTATCTTTTGCCATCGTTTACAACTCTTCTGCATGTACTCGACAAAGGTGTACCAGCAGAGGCTGCGGGATGTGACCTTTAGCACCCAGTTCACTCTGACACGAAAGGGGATCAGGCACAGAGGTAGCCAAGGGCTCTCTATTATCTCTTTCTCAGAAAGCCCCTAGGATGCTTCTTGATTATTTAATCATCAGGCACTAGCCTTAACACTTGAAGATATTTTGTTATAGAAGCAGTTGTTCATTCAAATAATCCAGACATTTCACCTTTAAATTCCCCCTGTGTTCACTGGTATGGCAGACTTATGTCTTGGATACCAGTAGGCTTATGTTAAACCCTTAAATTGGTTACCAGATAGATTGGTAGGGACAGCCACTTTTCAATGTGCTTTTTGAATTGTGGATTGTTTTTGTTGAGTAGTAAGAAACTAAAATTGCAAGGTTATTTCTGGGAGAAGTGAGTTTCTTTCAAAGACTTGTTTATGACTTCCATACAAATGATTTGACCAACTAGTGGTTGCTACATCTGATGCCATTATGGAAATGTTTATAAAATGATTTTAGTTGATGGGTTAAAAGAAAACCCTGAATGATTTCTGGAACCTGCCAAACATCCAGTAAAATGTTGTATAAGATTGTATCTTCAAAAAATATATACATTTATTCCCAGAAAATGTCAACATTTTTAAATGTTGGAATCAAAATGATATAAACATGTTTCTGTTGGCAAACTCAAGAGACATAGATGAATAACTTTTGAATATCCAGAGTGATATCTTGGATGGAATTTTTATTTCTAACCACCATTTGGAAGAGAAACTTTTCAGAACTGCCTAGATATCATAATACTATACCAACTCTGCCATGGTTTAATAGTATCAATCTTATTTTAAAGCACCAAATGCCAGTATAAAACCACAAGCATCAACTTCCAGCAAATATGTCCTATAAGGGCCTACCCAGGAGCTAAAGACAGTTACTTTCTGTGACTTCAGTCTGGAAAGTTGAAAACGTATCCTGGATATCCCAACTTCCTATAATTGCCTAATAAGAATCCACAGCTTCCTAGTATGGCTTAGACCAATTTAAAAAATGTTAATTTTATCACTTGTTTTATACATGTGCATTTTTCTCCTTCGAGTCAAACATTTTCCAAGAACCTTTCAGTTTTTATTTGTGAATAATTTCTAGCCTTAGTTAATCTATTTAAAGAAAGAAATTCACATTAGAAAGATGAAAAATGGTGAGTTCCTCCTCCCCATCCACAACCCATAGAAGGGGTCATAGAAGAAACTTGTACAGTATTTTTTTAATGGGAGATCTCCTGTTTTTCCAATTCATATAGGGACTTCAAAATTTTTCATCTATAAAGACAGTTTATTTACCATATTGCTTTGTAATAGTGCCTTCAGCTAAATGCTGCTGCCATTGATGTGAACATTAGTTCTATTTTCTTTGACTTGCCTATGTGGTACTATGAATGAAAATGACTCCTGTTGTAGCAGTCCCGCTTAGAGTGAGTCACATGAGCAATTTAAGGAAACTAGCAGTGTTCTGCCAGTGTACAAATTCTATTCCCCCAGAGGCTCAAAAAGGTTTCAATTAGATTTGAAATTATATACCTGAAATCCACATATTTCAGCTGCTCCTTAGGCAAAAATAACAAGTTAATAACTTAATTCACAGTTGTTTTCTGTTTAATAGCAGGGGACTTGGCGTCCCATTGCACAAATTTTTCTCTTTGAAATAAATCAGAATTTGATTTTGCAATTAATTTGGAGTCCTTTAGCTCAGGACCCTAAGATGAACCTTCCTTGAAAGAAGGGAATTCCCAAAGTGTGCCAGAGTAGCCAACAGCTGAAATACATAAATAGAATTGTGACTTTGCTGTCTTTTGAAACTGCCATTTTGACGTTCACAGTGAAGTTTTCTGAGTTGCAGTTTGTATCTATTATATTATAGTTCGTTCCCTCCCTCCTTCCCTCCTTCCCTCTCTCCTTTCTTTCTCTCTTTCTTTTTTAAAGTTAGGTTTATTGAGATCTCATTTACAGAGTAAAATTTACCATTTTTGGCGTGTATATAGTAAAAAATACTAATTAAAAAAAAGGAATACTTTTTATTTATATTTAGAATCTTTAAATGGAATTATTAACATATACAGTAAAATAGTAGTTACTTTTTAAAAAAATATTATTTTTATTGATTTCAGAGAGGAAGGGAGATGAAAAGAGTGAGAGAAACATCAATGATCAGAAAGAATCATTGTTTGGCTGTCTCCTGCATGTCCCCCCCCCCCCCCACTGGGGATCAAGTCGCAACTGAGGTATGTGCCCTTGATGGGGAATCGAACTGTGACCTTCTGGTTCATAGGTCAACACTTAACCATTGAGCCACGCCAGCAAGGCAATAGTTACCTTTTAAGTCTTTTGTTTTATAAATTTATAAATGTTATGTTGACATATAAATCTATAAGTACTAGAGTATTCATAATTACATATTCTCAATTACTTTGCTCTAATAACTGATTTATTACTATTCAGTCTGCAAGAGCCATTGATATATACTAAATGTTAATAAAACTCAGAATAATATGTTAATACAAAATTATAATGTCAGAGGCTTGGGAAAAACCCCAAGATGCATACTAGTAAAAATGTATGCTAAAATTGCTGGGTCTTACAAATAATTCATCTATACCTCCCTTCCCCAACCACTCTTTGTATCTGTATGTATGTGCATATTCTGAAAGAATGTTAGGTAGAAGGTTTACTTTTGAAATTATAGTGTAACATAAACTAAGTCTAAAATAAGTTAGATACCTCAACTTTAGAAAGAAGTCAAATTTTTCTTCAGTTGGGTTCATTTTTTGCATTATAACATTTGTTCTTATTTCTCATACTTATAATTTCTTACATAGTTTATATTCTTTCTTACCCTTAGTTCTTAGATGCTCATTTTCGTTTGCTTCGGATATTTCCTGTCCACTATGTTCTCTCAGACTCACTCTCTCTTTTCCTCTTTAACTTGTACTAGTCTTTCTGAGCTGGGATCAGCTTAGGTATCACTCCCGGAAGTTCTCCTTGACCTCCAGCCTGGGTTTAGTGTCCCTGCTCTAGGATCCCATTGCATCTTGTGTGCACTTCCAGAACAACATTGTGTTATATTCGCTTCTTTTTATTTTGCTCAACCCCATTTAACTGTAATCTCCTGGTAGGCTGGGACTGCAGCTTTTTCATTCTGGTACCATTGCTCGCCTATGCCTAGCACAGGGTCTAGTGATATAAAAACAAGACACAATGCCTGCTTCCTTTAACCAAATATGTAAGGCAGCAAGGATTCCGAGAGCCAGAATGCACTGGTAAAAATGGGGCATCCAGGATTCTTCAGGATGGGGCTAGGCCTGCCAGCTCAGTGTTTTTCACTGAGTAGACTTGGAGACTGCAAGGATGCTCACATGCAGGAAATGAACACATTGCCTGCTTCTGTTTCTTCATTTGAGCTGCTTTCAACAGTTCTACCCTATGGTCACGTTCACTGTGGCATTTAAGTTTAATCTCAGGAAGTTATCATGATGATCGGTTGGCTGACTCGCGCCCTGTGTTGGCTGCTCCAGACGTCATGGTATTATGTGGAGCCTTGAGTGCTTTTTATTATATGAGATTTGGTTAGCTTATCTAGGAAAGCGCTTAGGGAAGACCCTCCAAGTTGATTTTTCCTGTGTTTTTGGAGAAGGGGAAGCTTTCTATGAAGACTCTGGATTCACATCTTACTTCTCTTTCTTACTGACTGCATAGTCTGGGGCACGTGACTTCGCTGTGAGATGGGCTGTTTGAAGATCACCGCTCTTGCCCACACGGTTCCTAGTACCGGGGCTGGCCCTTGGTGGGAACTCACTTCAGCGAGAGCTCCCATCACCCTTGTCAGGACAGCACACACTTTTTAATAAAGAGGAAATCAACAAGCCTCTGAAACGCATTCCCTTGCTGGTTTTACTAAGAAAGGATAAAAGATGGCTGGGGGTTTGCTATTAACCCTGCACCCCTAACTATGAGATTCAACTGGCCCAACGGACAGGAGATAATCTATTCTTTATGGTTGTGGGTTTTTTCTTTCTTTCACCTTTAATAACAGCAAGGTTTCTGAACGTTTTCAAGAACGTTACAAAAGTCACTCAATGAAATCATTTCCCAGGCAAGAATATTTAAAGCTGATTATGGCCTCAGGGCATTTTTTTCATTCTTGCATAAACCATAGTTTTCAATTATTTCAGCATCACCATACATATTATAGAACTGCACAGAGGTGCCGGATGAGTTCACATGTCACACACCATTTGCTTGGGGAGAGGCTCTTGAAGGGGTGATACAGTGAGATTTAAGCCATTTTCTTTTTGTTTAGTGAGAAATATGCTTTTTTTTTTTTTTTTTTTTTTTTAAATCTACCTTCTTTTAGGAAGTGTTTAAAACACAGATTATGAATAAATAGATATAAAATTACCACACCTCTTTGCATTTACTCTGGCTTGAAGATAAATTCTGTAATATTTAAAAAATTCTTGGGTAAGACAAAATGATCCTGGACTTTAAATTTAAAGGAGATACTATGTGTTTTAATTCATACTCTTATTGGACCAGGAATTATAGGTATTATCTGAAGAAGTAAATGTAATAAGTGCAGAGTACTTTTAACTTTGAAAATGTTTTGTTAAGCCCTAGCCAGTTTGGTTCATTGGATAGAGTGTAGGCCGTGTAGACGGAAAGGTCCCGAGTTCGATTCTGGTCAAGGACACATGCCCAGGTAGTGGATTTAGTCCCTAGTTGGGGCCATGCAGGAGGCAGCTAGTCAATGATTCTCTCTTATCATTGGTGTTTCTCTCTCTCTCCCTCTCAAATCAATAAAAATATTTTTTAAAAAGAAAATTGCTTTGTTTATATGTCTTTTATGGTAAATGGTAAAAATACAGTTAAGGTATATTTTTTCACACTTTAATATGAGCCTTTAGTTTTTCCATATGTGTCTAGTCCTAACACTACAGGTGGTAAAAATGTAATGAATGTGTGCAAGAGAGATTTTCTGCTTCTTGCTCTGGGGGTAATTAGTTAGTGATATTGTTCAGAGGCAGGATGGTACAAATGGGGCATTTTAAGGGGCTTACATTAGATCAAATTGAATAAGTGACTGTATTCCTTTACTTTAAAAAGGGCCTAACCAGCTAAGAGAGCTGGAGTCTAAAATATGTTTAATTAAACAGTATAAGAAATTTACATTTTTGACTTGATCTTCCTTTACAATGATTGTAAATGATTTTCCTCCTTTGCTACCTCTTGCAGACACTCGGGGATGAAGTTCAGCCCTTCAGTCTTGATGAAGAATTTGATTATGACAGTGTGATACTAACCCCCAAGTTCACTGCCGCAGAGATAGAAGCCATCAAAGAACAACTATCCAAGCACAAGCGAGAGAACACCAACTTGGACTTGGAGGAACCGCGTGACTGATTCACCAAGACATCTTCCTGTTTATATTTCTTTTGTTCTTATTCAAGCAAAAATAGAATAAATGATAAACCTACTGTAAGCCCCTCTGTGGAAATGTATGTGTGTATTGATTTGTTAGTTACTTGCCTATAGGAAGATGCTGCTAACGAGACCACAGAGATCTCCATCCTCACAGAGCTCCCTTCTGGCATCCGTGGCTTGTAGGGGGCGATGGAGGGGGCAGTGGGACAGAAGGCAATGCCCACTGAAGCGTCAGTTTGAAGAGAGTACCACCATTAGGTAACACAGGCATTGTAACAAAGATTGGAAGCGTCAACCTACCTTTTTTAGGCGCAAAGGACAGTTACTCATGCCAAACGCATTGTAGCACAGAGAGAAGTGCTGATTATGTGGGAAGGTCATTGGCCCCCGCTATCCAGACATATTGGTATGAATCTGATTGCCGAGAGGCTAGGCTTCTAGGACTGATTGGGAAAGGCATGACTGGAAAAGCAGGCAACTGAGAATTGATTCCATGTCATGTATTAAATTCTTGTACTTTGTTATCGCCATTGTGATAGCTACAAAGTGCAAGGAATGATCTCTGTCTGCAAAAGCATAAAATATAATTTGAAGAGGTAGGTAGAAAAAAAACAACTAGAGGATGTAAAGCTACTTAGGAAGTGTTATTGTGTAGAGTACCCATTCATGCCTTAGGGAAAGGAGGATAGATGGCTGGAGGCACGGGTGAAGGGGGAGTAGTATGCATGAAGTCATTTTTATTATTGTAGGAATCCGTAACAAATCAAATATACTCAGTCTTAATTAGTTTTCACTCAGGCCTGAGCTCATGTAAATGCATATGTGTGTATATGTGTATTCATAGAAATGGCCATTTATTCCTTAGGAACGAATGTTCTCGATTTAACATTACAATGGAGTCAAGTGACTTCCACATTTATTTATTTATTATTTAGTCAAAAAGTCTCATTAAATACCCTTTATGTGCCAAGGACATGGGGAAGATACAAGTAGAGGTGGTCGGTGTTGTGGGGAAGACAGATGTATACACACATAATTACAGTAGAGCCATGCTGTTTAAAAGAATAGCCACTAGCTAGCTGCATGTGGCTATGGAGCACTTGAAATGTAGCCAATGTGACAGAGGAACTAATTTTGTTTTAATCCTCACCCAAGGAGTGAAGATATTTCCATTGATTTTTAGAGAGAGTGGAATGGAGGGTGTGGGGGAGAGGAAGAGAAACATTGATGCGAGAGAGACACATCAATTAGTTGCTTCCGGCTTGCACCCTGACTGGGACTAGGGATTGAACCTGCAACTGAGGTATGTGCCCTTGTCTGGAAATCGAACCAGTGACCCTTTGGTTCATGGGCTGATGCTTTAGCCACAGAGCAAAACCAGTCAGAGTGAGGAACTGATTTCTAAATGCTAATTTTATTTTAATTTAAAATACAAAGTTGATATTTGATATAGTTCTTATAAAAATTTATACTACAATTGGAACAACTCAGGTATGTACGTCTGTACTTTTCACCTGTACTTTTATGATATGTAAATACAGATAAATTATTTTTTTATGACAATTAAGTATCTAAATTTGAAATAAGCTACAAATGAGAATACACATTGGAGTTCTAAGGATTAATATGAGAAACTGTGGACTGTCTTGTTATTTTTTTTTAACTGATTATATGCGGAAATGATGATATTTTGGGTACACCAGGTTAAATGAAATATATTATTAAAATTCACCTTTTTACCTTTCAGAGGAGGCTCCTAGAACATTTACAATCACACATGTGTTTGCATGTTCTGCCTTGCAGCTCTGCAGTAGAGTGTTGCAAGAGTCCTGTGCAAGTGAGGTCCTGGGACAAAGCAAGTTGGAGTGATTGCACCTTGCCATGGAGAGCTCGGGAGTCTTTGCAGGGGAGTGGCCTTTGAGGATGGTCAGGAAGCCGGGAGTTTTTGACTGCAAGCTATTAGAATTAGAATAGCTGGTCTGGGTAGATGATAAGAGCCTGAGTTAAAGCAGTGTAGGTGGCAGTCAAGGGCATGTATTGGATTAGAGATTTGGATGTAGAACTAACAACGCTTGTTGACTGATGCAATGTGGGAACGAGGGAACAATTTCGAGGTTAAGATGTTAGCATGCAAACTATACAGCACCCCAACTTGAGGAGGGAATCCCGTTGTGATGTAATTCACAGGATCAGAGACACTCTTTTGACTCAATCTATACACAGCACTTTGGCATTTTAAATAAAGAAAAGACTTCACCATTTTAAAGGCATCTCAATTTTATGGACTTCAATAGAAGAAACAAAGCCATCCTTCCAAGCATTTAAAAAGATTGGCATTTTCCTGTGGTACTTCATCACCTGGGCTGGGTGGGTGGCGGGTAAATGATACCGCAGAGCATTCTGTCTGCAGAGTTGGCGAACAGCGTCTTGGCTTCGGTCCTTCCGTCAATTCCTGATTCCCGCATTATTTGGGGCAATTGTGCATCACAGCAAAAGTGACACCAGAAAATGGGTCCCCGAAAGCCTTTCAATGAAATAGTTTGTCTCGGTTGTACCGTTACTCTTGCCCTAACTAGCAACTCCTCCTCCATGACTTTCAGCTTTATGGATCCCTTGAATCGATATAAATGGCTTGTTTTACGCCGGCTGGCAACCCCTAACCCAGTGCCTCTAGGAGAAGCCTGCGTGCGCATTGATGGATAATGCCTACGTAGCGTAGGTAGCGTCCCCCCGGGGTAAGATTAATGCGCAGGAGAAGGTAAGGAGGAGCACCTGTACATACACACCAACATGGGAGGGGAGAACCTGAAAAACTGGCAAGTGTCTTGAAATAATGTGGCATTTGCCACAGACTAGCTTGAATGAAGATTTCAAGCCCGCCACACTGAGTGTGGTGGCACACTGAGAAATCTTAGAGAAAAAATATTGACCGGTATTGAAATTCCTTGATTCTTGCATCAAGAATCCCCACCACCCCCATGAACAAGATGGAACTATATCCTCATTTAAAAAGGAGAGATTCTTTATCTGTAGGTGACTGCACGGTCGAATTAAAACATGAAAGAGACAAAGCAGTTTTCATTTCATTGCTTGTTTCTTGGAAGCTGACGGTAAATGAATAGGTAGTGATTTGAACGAGGCAATCTTATTGAGAATTTTCTAGAAAAATATTTATCCAGTATGAGAAAGAGAAATTCATACCTGACCAAGGTCTGTTCAGTCCTTACCTAATATGGCCACCACTGACCTTCCTCATTTTATATCAGGTTCTGACCAGCTTGTATCTGTTTTCCTTTTGCAAACACTCACCGTGTTTCTACCATAGGGCCTTTGCTCTCACTCTGTTTTGTGCCTGGCCTTCCTTGGTCTTCAAAGGCTGGGTCCTTCTCATTGTCCAGGTCTCAGGTGAGCAGTAGCTCTCTAGTGCCTCTCTCTGAACACCCAGCTAACCCCTTTTCACAAACTTTCACTCTAGTCACCGTGACTCCCGGTAAAGCAGAATCCTTTATCATTTCACTGAATAATATTAATGCTCAGAAGAGTCATCAAACTTTAGAGGTGGTTTGAAAGCCCAATCCCCCTGAGTTCTTTATATTTTCACTTATTCTGACAGTGTTGTGAGTCACAAGAGGGTTCTAAGCAGAGGAGGGATGTAATCTGACTTCAGTTGATGGAGGATGGTGGGAAGGGGGTAGGGCTGAATTGTATTGAAGGAGGTCACCGGATGGAAGGGTGTGCAGGGCTGGAATGTGAAGGACCTTCATACTTTTCTCTCTGGAAGTTCATAGGACTTTGTTCTCCCTGGCATTCTGAAAATGTAGACATGGGTGGCATAGGTCTATTTTGTCCTTTGTGCTGGGCACTCAGTAGCCATTTAGTCTGGTTGAATTAAAATATGAAAGAGATAAAAAACAATTTTCAATTCTAGGAAGTTGTCTTGAATTGTTATTATTGTTTTTATTTGTTATTATTATTATTACTATTGAAATTGTCTTGAATTATTTTTTTGATGATTTTCCTTTCTTTTATTTTTCTCCTTTCCAGAATGTTCACTTCTTAGATGCTGAACTTCCTAGATTGCTACTCTAGTATTTTTGTATTCTCTTCTATCTTTTACCCCCTCCCCCACTTTTGCTCTATTTTATGAGATTTTTCCTAACTTTATCTTCCACATTTTAATTGCAAAGTATTATTTTCTTTAAAATATTTTTAGTTTATTTTGAAATCTACAAAACAGTAAAGCTATTTTCATGGGGAAAAAAAATAAAAAAGACAAACACCAGCAAACACATTCTTTTCAGCCAGAGTTGCGACAAGATGAGACTATAAGGCAGAAAAGGTGAGGAGAGTGTCTTATCCTTGAGAGTGCTGAGATAGTGCCTCTTGATGGTAATAAGCACTTGCACTTACTATGTTGAATGAATGAGCAATAGGAAGTGGAGGGAGATGTCAGGGGGGGGTTTTGCATATTCTGTTGTGCTGTAGAAAGCCTCAGATGTGACCATGTGGTAGCTAGGTGAGAGCTAGGAACCCTGGCACAGAGAGGGGAGAGATGCATGAGGGTGCTGGTTCTCTGGCTAGGTTGCCTTTGGTATGTACAGAGCATTCATGTGTTAGGAGCTCCATCCTCAAGAGCAGATCCTCCTGGTCTCGACGTTCCTGTTGCAGTGTTGTTTTGCCTCTGTAGTACCTTCTCTGTATCCCCCCTTGCCACTCTTCAAGCCTTCATTTTTACTTAGCCCCTTCTGGGAGCCTCCTTGCTTCCCAATTAGTCTCTAAATGTCTCTCTTCTCTCCATTCTAGCTTGTTTTGCACATTGATTTCATATTAATTTTCATGTTGCTATCTTGTTTCAAAACCACCACTAGCTGCTTGTTATCTATTGAATTTGTGAAAACCTCTCAATTTAGCATTCAAGGCTTTTTTCCTATGGATCCCCCATGCTACACTAACTACCCGTGGCTCCTAAATGTTGCCTT